AAAGAGAGAAATGTCTAGTCTATCTCGATGATATAATCATTTTCAGTACCAGCGAATTATCGCGTAAAGAGGTAGCATATTTAGGCCAGATTGTAATTAAAGACGGTGTCAAGCCGAACCCTGATAAAATTCCTGCAATTCAAAAATTTCCCCTACCAAAAACTACAAAAGAGATTAAAACATTTTTAGGTCTTCTAGGATATTATAGAAAATTCGTAAAAGATTCTTCTAAGAACACAAAACCGTCAAGACACTGTCATAAAAAAGGTGTGACAATAAACTGCAATGTTGCTCAGTACATAAAGTGTTTCGAAATGTGTAAAAATTTGCTTCTAAATGAACCAATTCTTCAATACCCCAATTTTAATGAGCACTTTGTTTTGACGACAGACGCAAGCAATTTCGCTGTAGGTGCAGTTCTTTCGCAAGGCAAAATCGGATCAGATTTACCTATTGCTTATGCAAGTAGGACTCTAACATCATCTGAGATTAATTACAGTACAACAGAGAAAGAAATTTTAGCAATTATATTTGGAGTTAAATACTTTCGACTTATTTATTTGGCAGGAAATTTAAAATAGTAGATCACGCCCCACTTTAGTGGCTTAAAAATCATAAAGAGCAAAATTCAAAATTTGTTAGATGCAGATTAAAGTTAGAAGAAATGGATTATGAAATGGTTTATAAAAAAGGTAAACTTAACAAAAATGTGGAAGACCTATCTCAAATATAATTAAATGCGAACGAAACAAAACTTGTTTCAGGAAATCCTCCTATTTTTGACTGTATGGATCAGTTTAATGAACAACTTGCTTCAACATCAACATACCCAAATCCAGACCAAACAGACAATCTCATAGTCGAACCCAACGATCATCAAGGGGTCCAAAACTTTAACAATTCTGACGAAACAGTTCATTCCAGTGATGAAAATCCCATAATTAATGTTCCAATAACTGAAACACCTATAAATTATGGCAGAAATCAAATTTTCATCTCAGAAGTAAATTTCTCACCTGCTAAGCCTTCAGTAATTAAGTTATTCAAAGATAAACAAAGAATATTACTTCAAGTTTCTAAACAAAATTTTGAACAGGATATCCTAAGGTTTATTAAAGAATTTGTAGTCCCCAAGGTCAAGTACCATCTGTACTTTGAAAATGAAATTTATGAACGATGGTGTAGAGTGTTACAAAACTATTTTAAGCACTCTGAAATTAATATGGTCAAATGTACTAAAAAACTCGTAGATGTAGTTGACAAAGATGAAGAAGAAATGATTATTCGTAATCATCATAAGGGTAAAACAAGCCATAGAGGCATAGATGAAACTGAAAAACGTATTCGAGCAAACTATTATTAGCCAACTCTACAAACTACTGTTAGAAATTATATCAACCAATGCGAATATGCCTTGTCACCAAGTATCACTGACATCCATTAGAATTAGAACTTAATATTACACTCACTGCAAATCGTTCGTTTCAAATTGTTCACATTGATAGTATATCGCTAGAAAGCTGTAAATTTCTAACTATAATAGACTCGTTTTCAAAATATGCACAAGCATATAAATTAGGCAATAAAAGTGGGGAATAATTTAATAAAATGTTTTTCGCATCACTGTATCCCGGAACAAATTATTTCTGATATGCTACCCGTAAAATTGAAGTTCATTTTATCAGCTCTCAGCATCCAGAATCAAATGGAACAATTGAGAGATTCCACTCTACTCTCACTGAACATATTCGCTTATTAAACAACCAAGAGATCATGAAAAATGAGCTCATCGAATTTAAAGTAAATTATGCTGTTTTAGCATATAATAATACTCCGCAACAAATTTCAAGCCATACGAGGTCGTAACCGAACATCCCGGAACTGATTCTCCATTTAACTTAGATTTACAAAAACAGTTAACTAATAATTATATTCTCAACCATAAGGAAAAGTTGAGGTTATTGTATGAGAAACTTAACCAGGATTTACAAGATAATAAAGAAAAAGTTACCTCAAAACGCAATGACAATAGGGAACCATGACCTCCTAACATTCCAGAAGGGTTATGTGAAAAATAAACAAAAACAAAGCAAGACTCACAACAAGTATGAGCCAGGAACAATTTATAAAGTAAATTCAGAATTGAAAACAGCCAAAATTAAGCCCACTCATGGTAACACTGCAGAGAAAATCCATTTAGATAATTTAAAGAGACCTAGGATAATATCTACAAGCCCAAAATCTATTCTAGGTCCCTCCTCGACCACTGGCAAGTAGGACAAGTAGCCATTAAAGAAATAAGTAGGAACCTTAGCGTTCTCCCAATAAATTTAGGTACAGCTAAGCTACAAAAAATGGAACATTCCCTCGTACATTCCTATAAATTAGCATCATTGTATGATGAATTTAATAATTTCAATATTCAATATAAGCATTTAAGATTAAGTTACATTCAAGGTATTACGTATCCTAAACAATTAGATAATTACAAGATAGCAAGATTTACTCAAAAATCTATTTTAGATAATATAAAAATTCATAGTGTCTATAATCATAGGACTAGAAGAGGATTGATAAATGGTTTAGGTAGCATAGTTAAGTATATTACTGGTAATCTTGATGCCAATAATGGCGATAAAATTTTTAAGATACTGAATCACATGCAAGGCAATGAAGATAACATTTCAAGTATAATGCAGGCATTACTGAGATCAAAAATTCTTCAGCTCAGCGAAATAGTTGAAACAATTGCTACACAACAAGACATTCTTTTTGCGAAAGACATCTTTCACCAGCTAAAAGATATCGAAAATTCTGTCACTTTTTGTAAAATGGGTATCATCCATCCTAGTATAATCAAACCTTCAGATCTTTATACTGAACTCAACAAAATCTCAAACTATTATAAGAATAATCTTCCATTTGAACCAAAAATTGAAAATATTTTAGGGTTTGAATCGATAATAAAAGTATACTGTAAAATTGAGGCAACTCAAATTGTATAGTTTCTGTTAGTGCGAATTGATTTCGAAGACAACTTTGACTTATATTACTTGTACCCTATTCCTACTGTAGTTGGATCAGGCTTCCTCTCAATTTTTCCAAATTTTGACTATCTTTTAAAATCAAAATTTGATGATCAGACCTCTAAGTGGCATATGTACAAAAACCAAAGTATACCACTGCCACGGCAATTCCAAGTCAACGCAAACGTCACTTGCGATCTTGTATTCTGAAGAACAAAGATCTAAAAAGCTGTCCTCTCTCAAAAGTAGAAATCAACGAGAATCACATTGATATCATCCCAGAAATCAACACATATGTAGCTGTTTTCCAAGAACATGAAAAAATTGAAAGATGCAGTAGCCAAGCAGAAACAAAGTTTCTCAAAGGAATATTTTTATTAACAGAAGATAACTGTAAAATTTTCTTTAGAAATGAGCAACTTACGTTTCTAAGCAAAAGTATCGGCCAACCTCTTATCATGGAGTAAATAGATATTGCAAATTTTGTTGGAAGCAATCATCCCAAGTTCAAGATAGAATTGAAGGCTTTGACCCTAAAAGATGTGAAAATGCAACCATTTGTACCATTGTTATTCTCAGTGCGTGGACAATCTTCCTGTACTTAGCAGCAGCCATTCTCATCCTACTGCTTGAATTTCAAAAATTCAAGAAAATCATGAAGTCAAGAAGCGAGAGCTCCAATCATGCCACCGAAGTTTCATCGAGAGAAAAATAAATTCAAGATGGAACAAGAATCCCGAATCTTCCAGAGGACGCTTCCTTCTATGGGCGGAGGAGTTACCTAGTCACCTAGCTTAGCAACCAGTACATCGACCGACCAATTCAGCAGATTCAGCACATTCCACATTGTTTACGATCTATAACTATTGTCGTCTAGACCAGTTAGGTGAAAAATAAAGCTTCCGCCTTTTGTTGGGTACTTCGATAAAATTCAAGCAAAGAGGACTCTTTATACTTTAATCTCTAGCTTCCAATGGACTTTGCCATCTTCATCAGGAGAGTCTTATGTGAGATTGTTGCTAAATGTTATTAACGTTTAGGTTGAGGGAAACACCCAGTAACCTGGTGAATGCTGGATACATGGTACACTCGTCAAAATTGATATAAACTACACACAGCTTATATATATATATATATATATATATACGATATAATATCGTATATAGTACGATTATTTGCCGGCTTAAGCAAAATAAACTGCTTTCACATGTTGTAAGCACTCATAAAGGATTAATTGCAAATCAAGTAAATAAGTCACCACACATAAAAACTGCCATACCTATATTACTAAGAATACTTAGATTTTTAAGACACCTTAAGGAATTACTGATTCGGAGTTAATTAATGCTGTGTTTAGGCCCACACTTAATACGGTACCTAGTCGGAAATACAAGTTGCCGTGAACGTTGAGATTATGGGAGACTGAGTGTCCACCCCAGATTTTTCAACAGGCGATGCATATTTCCAAGAAATATATACCTCGCATTACGATTTTGTGCACTGCGCTTTAAGTTTTGTATAATTGAGGATTAACATATTGAATAGAAATAGACAATGCAAGCAAGATATTTAACATTTTGTTGTATATCCATTTTACCTTAAATAATGTGAACGCGCTGCGCTTTGAATCATACGCCACATTCACTATATCAACATATCTAAATCCTAACTATAATAAAAATGGTATTCTGGATTCTTGGAATAGAAACATTATTAAACATATTTCACCTCATGCATCACATGTGCAACTAAAAATAACTATATTTCATTACACGAAATCAACCACATATACCTACGATATAAATAACAACTGCAAAGCAATAAAATACAAGAAATCTAAAAATAAATTCATAGAAAGTGCGTGAACAAAGAATGAGTGGTAATTGGATAGCTGATTTGCGCATACATACAGTCACATATTTAAGAGAATCAAAACATTTCAAAAGACTTTATAAAATAGAAATCTGTACTCACCTTGTGTTACCCGAAAGTTGAAAATGTACCCATTGTGTATGTTCCAGTAAATGCTTCACCCATCCCTCATTGCAGAGATAACATTGAGGTAGTTCAAACTACTTTTTTATTATAGAGCTTTCAGTAGTCACGCTACCGCTTTGAGGATGATTATTGATTTCCTTTCTCTGGCGGAAAATCAATAATCCGGGTTTCCCATATGTATTTTGTCGTATGTAGGTAACATCAGGTTTATTATGCGGAGCAATTTTAAGCTATTGCCGGTCATATTCATTTTAGGGGTAGTTATTCCTTTTTAGACTAAATATTTCCGAGAAACCTTGAATTTTGAAAAATGTACTTCCCTGTCGTCTATAATTAAGCCTAAACATTTAAGAAATTCCTTTTTATGCATGCAGATATCTTTCTTTCTCGTAAGATGTATGCAAATTATGCATAACAGATGGCGCCACGGCTCAGTGAGATAGAAGTCTGACGCGATTCTTTATATTTTAGTTGAACACCTAAAGATGGCACAGCCCTTTTGGTGATATTTTTCTCATGTGGCAAACCATGTTTTCATAATTCATATAAGAAAGCAGCTTACAACTGGTGAGACTATACTTTAGCGCATATTGCAAATACTTCATTTCTTACTTTAAAATGAAAGATCAGGATGTAACTTTTACGAAAATATCATTTTTTCTTTAAGGAACCCTCTGCTTGCTTTTTTTATAGAATTTCGAAGTTGCGTTTTTGGTGGTTTTGGTGGTAATACTTTAGAATAGAATACTGTTTTATTTGCTGTCTTTTTTTGCTTTTTGTACAAAAGGATGCTCTAAATTATAAGAATATAACATACACTGTATAGTACTAAGGAAAATAGATGTGAAACTGTAAAAAATCGTTGTTTTTGGAAAAAAAGATTCAAAACAAGACGTGTTATTACACATTAGCTTAAATAACAGAACAAAATACATACGTAAATGATGGTATTTACTTGGTAAACTGTGTAGAGGTGTTGTTTTGTGATTTTTTAATGTCTTCTTGAATTTCCTTAACCATTTTTTCGCTTATTTTCAATGAGATGAAAGTTTTTGCGTTTATAAGAAATAATTGAAAGTACAAACAATTCCCAATGGCCATTTTATAAGGCTCATTTCTTGACAGATAACATAAATGAGGTTATTTGCAAAATAAAAGTCTTAATTTATTGTAAATGGCTTGTTTTATGAAAAGTTGTCCTAATATTTACCGAAAACTGGATGAAATTTTGAACATTATGAGTCTGAACAGAGGAAAATGCACCAGCGGCTCGCGTGACATAAAACATACAAAAGGCACCAGCGGTCATTGCATATAAAAATACCCAACGTCGATTCGTCGATTTGGACCACCTTGCCAGGTCCACCCAACATATCATCGTCCAACGTTATAGTTAAATAAAGAGCAACGATCATTTCATCAATTTATCAAAAAACTTGCAATGTTATTTGTTATGTTTTCACTATTTAGTGATTTGCAACAGCTACTTTTTCAGTTATTTCTCATATATATATATATATATATATACATATATCTCATTTAATTAGGTACATTTTGTAACATCAGCTTCACCTTAAATAATTCTTCAAGTACATACATACAAAAAAGTAAGTAGATTATAACTATAATATAGAAAAAACAATAACAAAAGTACTTTTGGGAAGGGCATAAGGCATTCTTCAAAAAAGTCTCTTTAGCTAACGCTATCGTAGGGCACAAGGTGGATTTAGTACAGTAAAACCTGCCGGCCACACATCCAAATCGCATTTTTATGACACTCCGGTGCCGATTGCACATTTTTGCACTAGCATGTAAGTAAGAATTTGACAAACCAAATTAAGATATATTACTATCCATGATTTGGCAACATCGCAACTAGATGGAGAGAATATGACAGTGACGGCGGTGTAGTGATGGGAATAATTATCTGAAATAAAAGAAATGACTACTTAACAATGAACCATTTTCATCATTAAAATAATGCAAAATTGCATTCTTGAGAGGAACAGTATCACAGTAACTTACAGTGTATGTTATATTCAGATAATTTCGAACAATCTTTTGTATAAACAAGAAGAAAATAGCTTATAAAGCAGTATTTTATACCACAGTATTAGCACCCAAAATGCAAATTTGAAGTTCTATATTATAGCAAGCAGAGGGTTCCTTAAAGAAAAAATGATATTTTCGTGCAAGTTACATCCTAATCTTTCATTTTAAAATAAGAAATGAAATATTTGCGATATGCGCTAAAGTATAGATCAGCCAGCTTACAACCTACGTTGATTTTGTTCCATGATCATCCCTAGAACAAATGATTCGATCACTGTATATAGGTATATTCTTAAATTCACCGGTTGAGCTACCGGTGCAACCGGTTAGCCAAGTTTGCGTCCTTTAATTTCCGCTGGAACGACCGGTTGTACATCAAACTTGTCTCTATAATCAAATTCAAGCGGATAACCAAATGGAAATGGTATTTACCATTTTGGGTTGGTATTTACCAATCCGTTCAAGCGAGTGTAGTTATCAGTTTGGTTATAAGATCCGTGACGTCACGAATCAGCTGTTATATGTCATAGTTATCACCGCAAAATTGTGGTATTTACCCAACTCAAGAGTAGTTTTATATTTCTGGTTATTATTTGAAATGTGACAAGTTAGAATTTTGCCGGGTATTGGATATTGTTATTGTACTTCAGCTTCATTTTTGAGAAAAACGATACAGGCTGACTTCAGTTTTACCATAAAGTGGAGCACCTTATTAGTTATACTCATTACGGTTGTTGGGGATACTTTAAATGTAGTTCCTATGCTTAACAAAGTATCCTGTGTAGCCATATACCACAAGAATATTAAAATATGGCCATATAAACTCACTAGATGATATCCACCTGTATACGGTTTTGCTAATTTCTTTTTTCATCATTTCTGCTGAATCAATAAATGTTTTCTTTGACATGCGGAAAAATTTAGAGAATTGAAAGTTATCATAGCTACAAAGCCATGGTTAGATCATTAAAAAAAAAATCTGAAAAAAACATTTCTCCATGAATATTATGAAAGGTTTCTTATTTAAACTTTCCATATACAGTTGTAGACGAAAAAGCACCGATTATTAAGTGATAATAAAAATAATCAGAGATTATATACGCGCTTTTCTAAAATAAACAACTTGCAACAAAACCGCGGTTAAAACCAACGCGTTCAAGCGATTCGTGTAACTGACGTCATCAACCCGTGTGTCATCTTGAACCATATTATAACCGCGGCACATAACACAGAAATTTTGGTTATTCGCTTGGATTTGATTTATATTGATGGTGGATATGCCACCGGTGCCAACAGCATCCACCGACGTTCGGGCTCGGTTGATCCACGATATTCTAACCTCTACATTTTATCAGTTTTTGACAACTACAGTTTTGTGTGAAAAAATGGAAGAAGAAGAAGTTAGCAGCATAGGAGTCGCGTGAAATTTAATGTTTTTTTTCAGCACAAATTGAAATAAACAGAGCATCTGAAAGCAAGTCAATATGTTTTGAATTATGCATATCGACGATCTCATATTAATACCTCGAAGTCCGAAAATGTCGATTTTCTGATTTTGTTATGCTCTCAGAGAATCCATATCGATGGTTCTTATACGGGAAGCATCGACGTTCTCAAATCAATGCCTCGTATTGATTTGAGATCGTCGATATCTGAAAATTTCTTGGTTTTCTGATTTATAGTTCTTATATTGATTCACTCCGCTGGATAACTTCTTCATCAGAATCATCACTCGAATCGCTTAACAAACGTTCCACGACAATACCAACTGCTGCTTACATTTCCATAATGATTTTAAATGATACGGTGTTCAAATGAAAATGAACAAGTATCCATTTACGATAAAACAAAGGTTAGGTATTCTCATATGACAGCAACCTGAAGGCTAAAAATGCTTCTTTTCATTAACGACCATTCAACGGAACCGGTTGCTGACGTCATCACATCAGCTGTCAACCATGAGTTCACCGGATCCAGCAGTGATGGAATCATCCGGTGAATTAAAGAATAATACCTTATCAATTATGAACTAATTCGTTAATTATCAGTGCTACCAACCATTAATTAGTGAAATGTGCCTCCATGGATCAAAATGGCGATCAGGAATACGTCTTGTATTATGAATCAACGGTTGCGATTGTGACACATTTATTATTATGCCATGGAACAAAATCTATCAAAATTGTAGTTGCCAGTGTTGCCGATTTGCAGATAATTACCTGCGATCCATGTATGTATATGTTTTGTGGTTATGGCACAGGTTATACCAACGACATCTTTCTATGGCCGTTGGATTATACAGCTGCGACACCTGCTGTCGGTCCCTTTGACCTTCGTGTCCCCAACTGCTTACCACATTTCCTGCTTATGTTCATTAGCGTCCCGAGGATGTATTCCTAGGGGTTGTTACGCGTTAATAGCAAGACGTCACGAATGTTACATGTCAAAAAACATAATCAAGAAATTTGTGTTCATTTACCCACATGCATTTTTTTGAGATAATTATTATTATTTCTTAAAAAACTATTTATATATTTATATATAGTATTGATAAAACTCAATGTTTTTGATAACCCCTAAAACCTAAACGTCACAGCAACACGAATCCCACTCCCACCAAACGCATAGGACATAGGACTCAAGTTGGCATTGATAGAACCTGATTTTTGACAGAGTGTCGCCCTGTCGTTTTGTTTTTTTGAAACTTGAGACGTTTCACATCTTACGTGCAATTGATAATTTGTTAATTTTACTTTGATAACGCTGTATTCTACGTTTATTAACTTTTAAGTGATACAGTCAATTTGCGTGAAATTAACGTATCAGGGGTTAAGTGAGACAATGGTGCCAAAGCTAAGCTTAATAGCTGCAGCTTGTGAAAACATGGGAATAGGTTATAATAACAATCTGCCCTGGCGACTAAAGTAATTTCAAAAAGTTATTTACTATTGAGTTACGATCTATATCAGTTATTATCCAGAAGTTACTACATGTAACACCTTTGTGCATTGCTTGCACCCCTGTTTATCTGAAGTCTGTGGAAAACCGTCTACCTACACTTCCAGAGAATTTAACAACTTTCAAGACTATAAGCATCTATTACACAGGGCGAGATTAGTAGCCGATCGCCGGCGAGTAGCGAGTGAGCGAGTAGAACACGCTCAGCGAGCGCAAATTATACAGCGCTAGTAAAATCGCTTTACTCGCATCGTATTGAACCTTTGAAAAGTGTTTAGTTTGTATCTTTTGTGCGATAATAGAATCTAAAATGGCTGTTAAATGGAACAGTAATCAAATTATACAGTTCTTAAAAGTCTATGAACAATTTCCCGTTTTATGGAATATAAAACACAAAGATTACGTTAATATCAAACTCAAAGATGTTTTATTCAAAAAAATGTGGGAGCAATTAGAGGATAAAGGGCTTTTGAAAGGAATGGATGAAAAACAACTAAAAAATAAAATAAAGAATTTAATAGATGTGTTTTGTCAAGAACTGGCCAAGATAGAAGGAAGCAAAAAAAGTGACTGTGGAACAGAGGATATTTATACCCCAAAGCTAACATGGTTTGAAGCTGCCCATTTTTTCGCTGAAGTTTTGTCAACAAAGCATAGTAATTCAAACTTGGTAAGGAGATTTTAGAGCTATATATTTTTTATTCATACTTAAGCAAATTATACATAACAAATAAAGTTAAATTTTCTTTAACACTTTGAGCAGAATTAATTTGAAAAATAATAAATCACTTAAAAATATAAATATTGTTCAAGCTAATTCCAATCCCACTTTTTTCCATTGCCACGGTGAAGGATTGTCTTCCATAAAATACTTAGCGTATTTGCGTCTTACTTCCTCTGCAGAATTTTTGTAGTTGTTGCTTCCCAAATGACTAACCATTGGCAGATTATTCACGTGGTTTCTCCATTGCCCAAAAGTAATATTGCCCGTGTTAAGATCCTCTCTATCCACGGCATTTTCAGGAAAATAAGTATTTGGGCTACTTTTTTTCAGCCAGTTGTGGAGACTACATGCTGCCAAAATAACATTGTCAATTGTAGTTTCTTTTAATTGAATTGGTCTTGAAAATATTCTGAAGCGCCACACAAGAATACCAAATGCATTTTCCGATACTCTTCTTGCGCGAGAGAGTCGGTAGTTGAATATCCTTTCAGTATTATTAAGCTGTGACTTACTGTAGGGTTTCATTAAGTTAGTTCTCAATGGAAAGGCATCGTCCCCAACAATGACCAAATTTTCAGGCATGTTAAGTGTGTTATTTTGCATTGCTATGTTCAAAGTACTGTCTCTAAATATTGCACTGTCACTAGCTCGGCCGTTTGCTCCAATATCAATGTAAGTAAAGCAATAATCTGCGTCCACCATTGCGAATAACACGATACTATATGTTTTTTTGTAATTAAAGTACATTGACCCAGACTTGGGAGGTTTTTTAATCAGAACATGCTTGCCATCAATTGCTCCACAACATCTTGGGAAATTCCAACGAAGAAAAAAATTGTATTGAATTTGTTTCCATTCATTGCTTGTTGAAGGCATCTGCAAGAAAAAAATATGATTTAAAAAATTTGTTTAATTCTTAAATCAAGCAAAAAGTTAAAAAAATCTTTACAAATTTGTTCTAATTTTTTTCAGACTCTACCCAGCACACAAAATATATCTGAGGAAATCTCAAATTCTCAAATTGAACAGCGTGACGATGAAGAACCTGATACACAGCCCAAGGAACAAAATATGAAACCCTCAGAGGGGATGGGACCTCCTTAATCGAAAAAAAGGGTGAGAAAACAGGCAGATCCAGAAATTGGCGATGCAATCAGTCAGTTGAATAAAATAGCTGAAAATCTATCAGAAGGAAAACCGTACGACGAATTTGGAAAGTATGTAGCTGCAGAGCTGCGTCAATTACCCCAACGTGAGGCTATTTTATTGCAGCAAGAAATTCAGAATTCTATTACACGTGTAAAGCTAATGTGTTTGGGAAATGATAATCAACTAAATAATTACTACAGAGAGCCCCTTAAAGTGCAAACTTTTTCACCGTTATCCTCCCCCAGTGATCCCAGCCCAACATATGAAGCAAATGTGCAAAATGACAAAGATAGCGTTTATGGTAACGATGTTATTCATCAAGCACTATTAAATACATTTTCAGGGGCAGAGTTTGAAATAGTAGAAGAAGTTTCTCAATGAAATAGATTCTATTTTTCATATAATTATAAAAATATTTTGTTTTATAAGTATAAGTACTGTGTTAAAAATAAATTGATACTTAAATTAAACCTACCTTTATGTATGGCTTTAGGACCTGACAAATTGCTGCAAGTACTTCGGGTACAAACAATGAAATTGTACATTCAGGCACTCGAAATAAATATTCTAGTGATTTGAACGAATCACCAGTTGCCAAAAAGCATAGGGTTATTTCTAGTTTTGTAGCAGTTGGAATCGCCATCCCCATTTTTGTGTCTTTTTTGCGGATTGTTTCGTCAACCATTTGTAATAGTACATTAAACTGTTCATTGCTCATTCTCAAAACATTCCTATATGCCACAGGATCTTCATCCTTCAATTGTCTTAATAAAATATTAGAAGCCCCATGTGTGTCCCGTTTTGAAATCCAATTCCTGACCCACATCCGTCTCGCTTTCCTTTTTTTCTGGTTTAACCGTTCTTGAAGTTTTTTCCGAATTAAAAGGCTGACAAAAACAATTCCTACACGCACTATATCGGCCATTTTATCCAACTAGTCGGGCTTTAGCTTATTACACATAGCGTTTTCACTCGTCAGAGGGAAAAATTGCGAGCGAGTAGCGAGAAAAGTAGGCCGGTGTTCAACTTTACTCGCTGGGAAAAAGCGAGCCGCGAGTTTACTAGCAGCTGCGATTACATTTGACGACTTTTATAGCAGCGAGTAAATTCGCTGACGAGTAACTACTAATCTCGCCCTGTGTAATAGATGCTTATCACTTAACTTTCCTAGTATGGAGCTCAAACTCAAATAATCGACACCTTTTGGAATAATTTACATACAGTGATAGTGATCAAGACAATTTCTAATATTGGCAGTGCTTTTTGACTAACATTTATAAATTCGACAGGTGGTTCCTTTTTCAGGACTGAAATGGACTATTTCTCACGAATGACAAGCAAAACGACAAGTCTTGGCAAAAAGAATGTTGTGATAATGGGTCGTCGAACCTGGGATTCCATTCCTAAGAAATTTAAACCTTTGAATAATCGTATAAACTTTATTTTGTCAAGAAGTGAATTAATGCTTTCTGAATATAAAGATGTATATTGTTTTAAGAGCTTGAAAGAAGCTATTGATAAGTTAAAAGAAAATGATTTTAAAAATATTTATGAGAATGTTTGGGTTATCGGAGGAAGTCTGATATATGATGAATGCATGAAGTCTGAATACTTTTATAGGTGGGTATAAATAAGTATTTACCAGTAATAAGTAATTATCTACAATCAAGTGGCATAACATGGCACTACTGCCAGCATTATAGCCTAACTAAGCTATTGAAAAATGTGAATCAAATATCAGGAGGTACCAGGAAAATATCCAAAGGGTATTACACGAAAATCTGGGGAAAACTACTATGTGCCAAAAATCTACATAATTGCAACTGTTTAGTGTGGGTTATTTCACTTTATTGAATACAATACCAATGTACCCGGCACAAAACATATGGAATATGACCATGGGTCAACTTTAAAGAAACATCTTATGGGTGGATATCTCCAAATTATATGGAAATATACAGGGTGTTTCACATTTTTTCTTCAATGGAATACCCTATATCATTAGATTTAGCATGATTCATTTATTCAATGGCAAGTAGACCGCATGTGTGTATGATAGATAATGCTTTGTGCTCTTGTCTGAAAAAATATCTATCCTTGGAGGTTTAAGTATCTCCTCATTTTAGGTTAATACTGCTTTATTAGAACTGTTATCTTATTATACATAATAAAAGATGTTTAAAAAAAAATGATTGTTGAGGCATGGGGGGCTATGGCACCAAACTTTTTAACACACTCTGTCTCCAACAGAACATATCTGACTATCACCCATTCAATCATTTGAATTTTCATTAAAATTGACTGGTGGCAAATCCTATATATTTTGTGCCTAGTACTTTTGTTCATTTTTGCATATTTTTCCAGGCTGTATCTAACTAGGATCCACAAAACATTTAAATGTGATACTTTTTTCCCTGCTTTACCTGAAGATCTGAAGGAAGTGAGGTACAGACTATTTAATTTTGATTGGAGCTTTTGATTCATCTAATCTTTTTTCAGTGATGAGGATGTTCCAAAGGAGGTACAAAATGATAATGGAATTGACTTTACTTACCATGTCTATGAAAATATAAATTTTAAGAACTAAAGTTTCATATTCCTTATTGCTAATTTGTATAAAATATATATTTCTATATTATTTATCTCGTTTTGCTGACACTCCAATGTAATTCCTAAAAATTATTGTGGTTGCGATTCATTTCCCCTTAATAAATGAAACTGCTTTTTCTTTGTGATGTCTTTCCAGTAGTCATTTTTCTAAGCAGCCCTTTATGATTTTTATTTGGATGGGCAAATGGCTGAAACACCCACATATTGATGTCCACACTCTTTGTCTAACCCACATCTTAATTGTGCTCAAAAATTAAGGTCATGAGGTATTTACGAATACTGAGTAATTAAAATATGGGTCAAGTCAGAGAAACTAAAAGTGATTAGAAAGCTTTAATCTAAAGCTATGATCATTATGATTTGAAGTGGCTGTCATATTATGTTGCTACCTCAAATGATCACATTGAGTACCCATAGTCAAATAAAACCCATTTTCTATAAAAACATATTTATTCATCTCTCGCCTTCAAACGAAATCTCACATAATATATAACAGAATACCAAGGAATAAAATAATATTAACAAGTTATGTACAGTCTTCAACAAATAAAATGAATGAAAAAACATGAGAATTTTTAAAATACTTCTATACTAAATATAGTACCACAAATCCAGATTATTCGTTTATTCCAAACTAATTTAACGTCTTTAAGATAATTTGAAAGTTATTAAAAGCAATCAGGAAATTTCATCATGTATGCCACAGGACAAGTTACTTAGATTTTTTAAATTTCAGAAATACATTAAGCCTTCAAAATATTAGTCAATTGTACCTATAAAGACTAGCAATCATAATGCTTTTCACGCTTCTTACCTTGGTTTATAATTTGTAAAGTAGTATTTCTTTTATATGCATTTCAATAAAGAAAAAGTAGTGTGGCATTTGTATCCAAGACTTTTAAAAAATTATTCTAAAATAATATATCAAAAGCACCAGAACAGTATAATTTATCAGCCATGACTGATGGCCTCCCATCTCTTATGGTGTATATGAGAGGTAGATAATCTTCTGTTACGACCGACTTTTTTTTGAACTGCTCAAACCTTAAAAACATGGACAGAAGAATTTATGTTCAGATTTGCAGATTTTGAGGATAAAAAATCCTAGATGAAACAATATAATAATAAACTGCAATGAAAATTTACCGAGTTGTATTTTCTATTCTTTGTTACAAAATCTGTTGACAAAGGGGGCCTGGCAAAAAACAGAAGTTGAGGTGACAATGGGAGAGTGGCTCAGGTCTAAATAATGAAGAATAAGAAAATAGATAAAAGGAAGTACAAGAATGTCATCAATATTGTATAGAAGATTGTCATAACAGTTAGTTTCATTTTTGGCCAATATTGGATTTGTCATTTTGAATTTCATGATCCTGCGATTCAAAACATCTCCTTAAGCGAAAATATGCGATAATAATTGAACGACCTAAAAAACCTTTCATGTGTAGAAATTATCTGGTTCATTGTATTTGTTTTGGCCTATAAAGGCCACATATGTTGGGAAAGAAGCATTTGTCGGGAGCTGTAGCATTTTTCAAAATAGAAAATATTGTCAAAACATCCATCTTCATTCCTAGAATATATTTTTGACATTATCTTGTACTTTGAATGAAGCGTTTTTGAATGTGTGGGAAATATAGTCAATCTTCTTGACGCCATTTTTTATATTTAAACAAAATAAGTATTTAATGCTATAAATATATAGGCATCTTCCGAGAAATTCTACTGTTTCAGTGTCTTCTTACAAGTTAAACAATCATTTTACCAATCCCTAGATATGAAAATAACTTTGACTTACCATTACTAATTACATAAACCCATACAAATGAAAATAGAAAACAATCACAATATCATATCACTTTTCTGTTTTAGCATGGAAAATTCATTTTTCAAACCAAATTGTTCAAAATATCATACTCAGTTCAAAGCTGCAAAATGTCATTTTACTTTATAATTGCTCCATACTATTCACGGATAGTTAAACTTTCACAAAGAAGCATTTATTACCTAATAAAACCAAAAAAAGTTTCATCCCATCAAACTTGAAAATCGGTATTTTGCTGCTACCACATAGGGGAGTTTGGGGCAAAGTGGCCACTGGGGCAAAGTGGCTTGCATCAAAATGTCCTACATGCTACTGACATCTAAATATGAGTGCTCCTATGTACAGCCCTTCCTCTCTGGATGTACAGTCAATCAGTCGAGTTGGAACTGCTCTCAAGCACGCACGCGGTTTTATATAGTGAGTGAAAAATTTAGAGCCATGTGTTTATAATATTCAGAGATAAGTAAATTAGAGGCATCGATTAAAGTTGATATGATTTGTTTGATATTACATATTTTTTAATAAGATTTCGTATTTAGTAAGCCTGTCTGTACGAGCAGTTTAATAAAAAACAAAGGTAATATTTATATTATTGTTGATAAATTGTTCGATGTATGTTGGGGTAAAGTGGTTTTCCAACTGCGGGGCAAAGTGATCACGGTAGCCACTTTACCCCATAGCATGAAATCATTGTACGAACTTGATGTAGGGAATACAAGTAGAGAAATTCTTGATTTAGCTACGGGTTTGTAAAGCTCAGAGGTAAGTAAAGTAGAAAAATAATCAAAATAATTTCCTTTTTTAAAGAATTGGCGCAATGGTGCGTAAATATAAGCGCAAGAGCCAGCAGCACTCTTGGTCAGAGGAAAGTATGGCAGCAGCAATACAAGACGTTACACGGGATACTTTCCGCAAAAAAGGCAGCAGCACAATACCACGTTCCTTTAACAACTCTTTGGAGACGATTAAGTTCTAACAACGAACCCTTTGCAGCAGCTAGAAAATTGTTAGGTCGATTTAGAACGGTTTTTTTCGGCAGAACAAGAGAAGGAGCTGGCCGATTATATCTTAGAGATGGAAAGTAGGCTTTTTGGTCTTGGCACGAGGGAGTTAAGGCACCTTGCCTTCCAATTTGCGAAAAAAAAAACAATATTGCACACATCTTTAACGCAGCTAAAGTACTTGCAGGGCGTGATTGGATCTATGGATTTCTAAAAAGAAACCAATATATTTCTTTGAGGCTTCCAGAATACACCTCGGCAGCTAGGGCTTCGTCATTTAATAAATACAACGTTAATTCATGTTTTACTTTATTGGGACAAATGCTACAAAAAATACAAATTCCCAGCCAGTAGAATTTTCAACTGCGACGAGACGGGTATAGGGCCTCAAGAATATTCTCCATGAAAGGATAAAAACAAGTGGGCAGTCTTTCTTCCTCTGAAAGATGCACTCTAACAACTGCCAAAATTTGTTTCAACGCCACTGGATTTTACATCCCTCCCCTCCTGATCTTTCCAAGAGTTAGAAAACGTCCACCACTCGAGCAAGGACTTCCTCCAGAATCAATCGTGGAATATCATCCATCAGGGTGGATGCAAATTGAAATATTTTCAGAGGCTTGGTTTGAACACTTTCTAAACTATTCCAAACCTACCGAGACTGATCCTGTTTTACTGGTCTTAGATGGGATGCCACTCACACAAAGAATCTAACGTTGGTCGAGAAAGCAAGGGCAAATCACGTGCACATTATTGTGATACCACCACATACATCTCACCGTCTACAACCCTTGGATGTAGCCTTCATGTTTCCACTAAATTCATACTACCAACAAGAAACGAAAAAATGGCTTATTAATAACCCTGGAAGGGCAATAACTTTTTATCAAGTCGGAGAGCTTTTTGGAAATGCTTTTAAACGCGCCGCAACAACACAAAATGCTATCAATGGTTTCAAAGCAACGGGGATTTATCCCTTTAACCCTGATGTATTTCCAGAAGATGCATTTAAACCAGCAGATGCCACAGATGGAGCTCTCAATGAAGACTGCCCAATAACTCTGCAACCCCTACAACAACCGAATAACCAACAAATCAGTAACTCTCCACAACCAGGTCCCTCTAGCGCTAGAACACCATCTCCTATTAGAAACGCAGAGCCTACAGCCCCTATTCTTAGTGAAAGAAATATTTACTATTCACCTAAAGATATATTGGCATTACCTAACGCAGGCGAAGCAAGAGCTCCAAAACGAAAAATGACACAAGGAAAAACTATGGTGCTCACTTCAAGCCCTAATTATGAAGAACTAAAAAAAGCAGCAAATAAAACCCAAATATCTAAAGCCAAGAAAAAAATGGTCAAAAAAGATTTGATGGCAGGGGAAAAACATTGACTGCAAAAGAAAGAAACATAGAAGAGGTAACATCTTCAGATAGCTCAGTTGAAGTGGAGCTAGAGGATTCTTCTTGCGATTCAGACAATAGCGATATCGAATTTTATCCTAAAACAACGAATTTAACATCGAAGCTGAAGTTGAAAACCTCAATGCAGATGATTTTATTTTGACAGAATTAACATCTGACAAAATGACAAAAAAACGTTTTGTTGCTCAAATAATAAGCATTGAAAAGATTCCAGAAACTAAGATCAATGTGTCATTTTTGCGACAATATCGGCAGTCGAAAGACATTTATGGTTTTCCTGAAGTTAAGGATTTTAGTGAAGTTTTAAAAGAAGAAATTTTGGGGAAAATTAGAGTTCGGTCTCTAAGGTATGGCAAAATACGGGTCTTTTAAAGCAGAAGATAATACGTCTCGACTGAATAGTTCTGTTTAGTCTTAGTAGTTCTTCAATATTATGGACGTTACCAAAACCTTTTTCGTATAACGAAATTCACTAGATTATAATTTTGTTAACTTTTCTGCTACGAACTTTTTTCCTTTCAAGAAACTATGTTTGTGTCATTTTTTGGATGATTGGTACTTTATTCTATGTAGTTTATTTTTTCACCCTGAAAGTGTTAATAAAAATTCTATTCATCGAAGTCCTATTTACTTTTAGATAGTGTCCGCTTTACCCCTATACACATATCCACTTTACCCCATACAGGGGCAAAGTGGATAATTTATAGCAACCTATTTTTTCTATTTTTTTTGTAGCACTTATTTAGAAACAACAGACCATTTAAAATAAAGTTCTTTCACAAATAAAGCGATTGGCATGGTTGTGCGTCTCATTCTAATTTTCTATAAAGTATTTTTGGTATTTTGAAGTTAAAGGTAGCCACTTTGCCCCAAACTTCCCTACGTGTTTCAGAATGTACTAGTTCTACTACATCCTAAATATAATATTAAGCTGAAAAATGAACAATTTTGTTTCACGATTTTAACAATATGAAGCAGATACGCAACACTGTATTAATATATGAGACTTTTACGCCTAGAAACTCGAAAATTAGAATGTTGGTGTATTACTTGGAAAGTAATAAACCTGTGATGCAAATGAACTGTGGGTGTTGGACATAATCTTAATAGTGTTATTTTATGAATCGGTCATAGAACTAATTATAGTTTAAGCCTAGGCCACAAATAAACAAACCATAGTAAAAGTGTTCTGGACCCCTGAACTCACCAGTAAAGACCATTTACAAAGTAAAACAACGTCAACGAAATATGTAACTAAAATAATTGAGTGAACGCATCCTGTTGATCTTCATCCCTAGGTCGCTATAGCGCCCCGGTTCCAGACAGGGACTCATCGCATGATTGTGGCAATTGATGACTGCGCATCTTGGTGCTGATCTGTCTGTCACCAATGACAGCCGCTTGATTTGACCAATCGCCAGTCTGGACGATCGTCCTGTAGAACTTGGATGTGGTCTTGCTAAAGACTGGTAGTAGTTCGTTAGCTTCATTTGTCAAGGCCTACAAAGATATGAAAATTATAAGAGTTAATTGAACTTTGCCAAATGTAATACAAAATATTCAAAAAACAATGACAATTTGCAATTTATTTTGAAATCCTACCTCGAATAAAGCTAAGAAAAAACGAAAATTATTTTGGAAGGCTACCTAAGAAACTCTGCCTTTTTGAAATAACTATACTATAAGTACGAAATTCTTGGTAGTGACACATCGCTATTACCAATGGCAGCCGCGGTGAGCAGAGGAGTGGAGAGGGATTGCTCCATGTACGTGCGAACTAATTTTTATAAAAGGTGTTAATATATAATAGCGAAGTGGTTCATTTGTCAACGTAGTTGATAAAACAGAAAAATTATCATAACAATAACTTTCAATATTATGTATATATATATATATATATATAACAAAAATAGGAAAAATCCGGACACGGGTGTAACCTGAGGAAACAAAGATGGAGAGGGAAAAAAATCACACACGAACTCCACAACAAGAGCCAACCTACACATAAACACCTAAAAATCTTATATGAAGAGTTTTTGCGTTCCGGCCGACACTATCGATTAAATCCCAAAAATCACGTTTTCTCATTCTTTGTTGTCGAATAAAAAGTTTTCCCACAAAAATTGGTGTACCCATTTTATGCGTCCATGTTTTGAATACCCCCTTGAACAACTTGCAGCAATAAAACGAGACTTTACAATTATTTCGCGAACCATGGGTATTTTCGTGTAATATTATTAGACTAAAGGTTGTATTGTTTCTTGCTATTTCGCCTTTGATTTGCGCCCATATCAACTCAATTGGATTCAGTTCACAATGATAGGGTGGTAAGCAATGAACAACAATGCCATGCTGACGAGCCATTTCATCTACTCGGTACAATATTTGTCTTGAGCCAATTTATTATGTCACTTTGTCGCCATGAACTAGTAGGGAACTTTTCTAGTCGGCGACTGTGATATGGAGCATTATCCATTACCACGACTGAACCAGAAGGGCTATCCGGCAAAATGCTTTTGAACCATGCTTCAAATCTATTTGCATCCGTGTCGTCGTGATAATCTCCAGTCTTTTTGGACTCAAATGGCAGTAATCCTTTGTCCACAAACCCTTCATCGCCGGCAATATGTGTTACAATAAGCCTACTCCCTTTACCTGAAATAAAGTTTCAATAAATTCAAGCATTTAGGAGAACAGTAACTGAAGGATATTAGTCTTCTAATGACCTTAATTTGCATGACTTTCTTGTATTTAATTTTTTCTGATAAGAACCTAATAAAAAAACACTTTTCATCCGTTCTAGTATTTAAGGCACGAATCAGTTTGTTTTGGTAGTTTTTTATAAGTAATGGTTTTCAGTGTTTTATAGAGTCCTGAAGAAGGCAATAAATTATTAAACATAGGCAGCTTTGTAACAGAAAACTGTTTCTTTGGATCCCAAGTCCATTTAACTAGGAGAAACTATTTAAATTAAGTTTTTTTACACCTGGCGATTGAAACGTTTGATCCGATTATGGTGATTAGCAATGTTCGGGACAATAATGCATATATAATTCTTTAGTAAAAGTGACAGGGTATTCTGATTGTCTCCTAGAATCAGTGGGGTCATTAAAGTACGATTATAATGATTTACATTATACAGGGTGTCCCAGAAGTCGACGTCAAGCCGAAACCGGGTGATAGGCAAAGTCATAACAGCTATTGGATGATTGGTACTTTATTCTATGTAGTTTATTTTTTCACCCTGAAAGTGTTAATAAAAATTCTATTCATCGAAGTCCTATTTACTTTTAGATAGTGTCCACTTTACCCCTATACACATATCCACTTTACCCCATACAGGGGCAAAGTGGATAATTTATAGCAACCTATTTTTTCTATTTTTTTTGTAGCACTTATTTAGAAACAACAGACCATTTAAAATAAAGTTCTTTCACAAATAAAGCGATTGGCATGGTTGTGCGTCTCATTCTAATTTTCTATAAAGTATTTTTGGTATTTTGAAGTTAAAGGTAGCCACTTTGCCCCAAACTTCCCTACGTGTTTCAGAATGTACTAGTTCTACTACATCCTAAATATAATATTAAGCTGAAAAATGAACAATTTTGTTTCACGATTTTAACAATATGAAGCAGATACGCAACACTGTATTAATATATGAGACTTTTACGCCTAGAAACTCGAAAATTAGAATGTTGGTGTATTACTTGGAAAGTAATAAACCTGTGATGCAAATGAACTGTGGGTGTTGGACATAATCTTAATAGTGTTATTTTATGAATCGGTCATAGAACTAATTATAGTTTAAGCCTAGGCCACAAATAAACAAACCATAGTAAAAGTGTTCTGGACCCCTGAACTCACCAGTAAAGACCATTTACAAAGTAAAACAACGTCAACGAAATATGTAACTAAAATAATTGAGTGAACGCATCCTGTTGATCTTCATCCCTAGGTCGCTATAGCGCCCCGGTTCCAGACAGGGACTCATCGCATGATTGTGGCAATTGATGACTGCGCATCTTGGTGCTGATCTGTCTGTCACCAATGACAGCCGCTTGATTTGACCAATCGCCAGTCTGGACGATCGTCCTGTAGAACTTGGATGTGGTCTTGCTAAAGACTGGTAGTAGTTCGTTAGCTTCATTTGTCAAGGCCTACAAAGATATGAAAATTATAAGAGTTAATTGAACTTTGCCAAATGTAATACAAAATATTCAAAAAACAATGACAATTTGCAATTTATTTTGAAATCCTACCTCGAATAAAGCTAAGAAAAAACGAAAATTATTTTGGAAGGCTACCTAAGAAACTCTGCCTTTTTGAAATAACTATACTATAAGTACGAAATTCTTGGTAGTGACACATCGCTATTACCAATGGCAGCCGCGGTGAGCAGAGGAGTGGAGAGGGATTGCTCCATGTACGTGCGAACTAATTTTTATAAAAGGTGTTAATATATAATAGCGAAGTGGTTCATTTGTCAACGTAGTTGATAAAACAGAAAAATTATCATAACAAATAACTTTCAATATTATGTATATATATATATATATATATAACAAAAATAGGAAAAATCCGGACACGGGTGTAACCTGAGGAAACAAAGATGGAGAGGGAAAAAAATCACACACGAACTCCACAACAAGAGCCAACCTACACATAAACACCTAAAAATCTTATATGAAGAGTTTTTGCGTTCCGGCCGACACTATCGATTAAATCCCAAAAATCACGTTTTCTCATTCTTTGTTGTCGAATAAAAAGTTTTCCCACAAAAATTGGTGTACCCATTTTATGCGTCCATGTTTTGAATACCCCCTTGAACAACTTGCAGCAATAAAACGAGACTTTACAATTATTTCGCGAACCATGGGTATTTTCGTGTAATATTATTAGACTAAAGGTTGTATTGTTTCTTGCTATTTCGCCTTTGATTTGCGCCCATATCAACTCAATTGGATTCAGTTCACAATGATAGGGTGGTAAGCAATGAACAACAATGCCATGCTGACGAGCCATTTCATCTACTCGGTACAATATTTGTCTTGAGCCAATTTATTATGTCACTTTGTCGCCATGAACTAGTAGGGAACTTTTCTAGTCGGCGACTGTGATATGGAGCATTATCCATTACCACGACTGAACCAGAAGGGCTATCCGGCAAAATGCTTTTGAACCATGCTTCAAATCTATTTGCATCCGTGTCGTCGTGATAATCTCCAGTCTTTTTGGACTCAAATGGCAGTAATCCTTTGTCCACAAACCCTTCATCGCCGGCAATATGTGTTACAATAAGCCTACTCCCTTTACCTGAAATAAAGTTTCAATAAATTCAAGCATTTAGGAGAACAGTAACTGAAGGATATTAGTCTTCTAATGACCTTAATTTGCATGACTTTCTTGTATTTAATTTTTTTCTGATAAGAACCTAATAAAAAAACACTTTTCATCCGTTCTAGTATTTAAGGCACGAATCAGTTTGTTTTGGTAGTTTTTTATAAGTAATGGTTTTCAGTGTTTTATAGAGTCCTGAAGAAGGCAATAAATTATTAAACATAGGCAGCTTTGTAACAGAAAACTGTTTCTTTGGATCCCAAGTCCATTTAACTAGGAGAAACTATTTAAATTAAGTTTTTTTACACCTGGCGATTGAAACGTTTGATCCGATTATGGTGATTAGCAATGTTCGGGACAATAATGCATATATAATTCTTTAGTAAAAGTGACAGGGTATTCTGATTGTCTCCTAGAATCAGTGGGGTCATTAAAGTACGATTATAATGATTTACATTATACAGGGTGTCCCAGAAGTCGACGTCAAGCCGAAACCGGGTGATAGGCAAAGTCATAACAGCTATCAGAAAAATATTTAAAAAAATTTTATGTATGTATTTTGAAAATTATAGGTCTTTGAAGAAAATATAGAAATTTCACACCCTACGGCAGTCTGCCAACTCCTGTTACTACAAATATTAACTTTTTTGGATTTTATTTTTACAATGTAATGATGAATAATGCATCTTCAAACTGGTGTCTCAACCTTACTGCCAACTTTTCTCGTTCAGGAAAAATTAACACTTATTTCCCAACCAAGTATTCCAAGTAAAACTTTGCTCAACTTTAACTGGCTGTACTGGAAAAAAATGTACTACGAGAGTTTGGCAAGTAACCTTAAAAGTTGGCGCATTTAATAAGGATTCCAAAATGGTATTACACTTAGAAGATTACTCGTTAACATATGCACAATTTTTATTTGAAAAAAAACTGATGAAAATTTTTCAAAATTTCCTAATTAAACAGCGATTATGAAAACGCATAAGGACCCTTAAGGATAACTGTTTGCACAACAGTGGGCGTCAAAATACCGCTGATGATGATTTACCTTTACAGCAAATGCTCAAACTGTTTTCCTTCAGCCGCAATACACGCTCGACATCTTCTTAAAAAAGATCGGGTTATTAAACGAGCGAATCCACGGTTATTAACAAACTCAGCTGCTTCCAATAGTCTTTGCCGTAGCTCAGCTACATTTTGAATCGGCTTGAAATACACTTTTCCTTTTACAGTTCCCCAGTAAAAAAATCTAAAGGATTCAAATCAGGTGATCGGGCTGGCCACGGTATTGTACCAGACCGCCCTATCCATCTGCCTGGAAAGTTTTGATCGAGATACTCTCTCAATGAGAGTGCATAGTGCGCTGGGCAGCCATCATGCTGAAACCACATGTCCCTGTAAATAATCAGTGGCACGTCCTCCAATAAATTTTCTAAATGATTTTGCAAAAAACCTAAATAAACCGCAGCAGTCAAAGTCTCTGGGAACTCAATCGGACCGATTATTTTACCATTTAAAATTCCTGTCCAATGGTTTATCTTGAAGCGATATTGAGATTTATCTTCTCTCATCAAATGCGGGTTTGCTACGTGCCACTCGTGTAAGTTATGCAGGTTCATGTACCCATCTTTCTTAAATGTGGTCTCATCTGACCATAAAATTTTTTCAAAGAACCGTGGATCTTCCCTGTGTCTTTCTAACATTGTGCGACAAAAAGCAACTCGGGGCTCATAAACCCGGGGCAGAAGAGCTTGAACACGCTGTAAGTGGTATGGATGGAGCACGTTTTTTTGCAAGATTCTATGGACTGTACTTTTGGGCGCACCTGTTTTTAGTTCTATTGCACGCACTGAAGTACTCGGGTCTTCTTCGACAGCTCCTAGCACCACGTCTTCGTAAGGAAGGAAAGATCTTCCCTCACCGTGTGATTGGTTTGATAGTTGGCCCTCTGAGAACAGTAAGCGGTGCACATTTGTGAACACTTGATGATCTGGATGACGAGCTGCATTCGGGGAGCTCTCACAGTAAAGTCTCGCTGCAGCACTAGCGTTGCATCTGCATTCCCCATAAATGAGGTGCATGTTAGCATATTCTTGTACGGTGTACACGGACATAGCGGCACTGCACAATCACACTATCAAGGATAGTCTAAGGAAAGCAAATGTTGTTTTGAAGAGCAATTAAACAGTCCAAATCCAAATCACAAGCGATCAACAGTCCAGTTCACGAATCCAAAATTAGTAACAGTACGAAATCCACAAGCACGTACATGTAAAGATGCGCAGTAAACGAAGGAGTACTGATCGGTATCAAAGTGTGCAATAGCAAGTAAGTGTGCTTCATCCATACCACATACAGCGTGTTCAACCTCTCCTGCCCCGGGATTATGAGCCCCGTGTTGCTTTTTGTCGCACAATGTTAGAAAGACACAGGAAAGATCAACAGTTCTTTGAAAAAATTTTATGGTCGGATGAGACCACATTTAAGAAAGATGGGTACATGAACCTGCATAACTTACACGAGTGGCACGTAGCAAACCCACATTTGATGAGAGAAGATAAATCTCAATATCGCTTCAAGATAAACCATTGGACAGGAATTTTAAATGGTAAAATAATCGGTCCGTTTGAGTTCCCAGAGACTTTGACTGCTGAAGTTTATTTGGATTTTTTGAAAAATCATGTACAAAATTTATTGGTGGGACGTGCCACTGAGTATTTACAGGGACATGTGGTTTCAGCATGATGGCTGCCCAGCGCACTATGCACTCTCAGTGAGAGAGTATCTCGATCAAAACTTTCCAGTTATAAGGCGGTCTGGTACAATACCGTGGCCAGCCCGATCACCTGATTTGAATCCTTTAGATTTTTTTACTGGGGAACTGTAAAAGAAAAAGTGTATTTCAAGCCGATTCAAAATGTAGCTGAGCTACGGCAAAGACTATTGGAAGCAGCTGAGTTTGTTAATAACCGTGGATTCGCTCGTTTAATAATCCGATCTTTTTTAAGAAGATGTCGAGCGTGTATTGCGGCTGAAGGAAAACAGTTTGAGCATTTGCTGTAAAGGTAAATCATCATCAGCAGCATTTTGACGCCCACTGTTGTGCAAACAGTTATCCTTAAGGGTCCTTGTGCGTTTTCATAATCGCTGTTTAATTAGGAAATTTTGAAAAATTTTCATCAGTTTTTTTTCAAATAAAAATTGTGCATAAGTTAACGAGTAATCTTCTAAGTGTAATACCATTTTGGAATCCTTATTAAATGCACCAACTTTTAAGGTTACTTGCCAAACTCTCGTAGTACATTTTTTTCCAGTACAGCCAGTTAAAGTTGAGCAAAGTTTTACTTTGGAATACTTGGTTGGGCAATAAGTGTCAATTTTTCCTGAACGAGAAAAGTTGGCAGTACGGTTGAGGCACCAGTTTGAAGATGCATTATTCATCATTACATTGTAAAAATAAAATCCAAAAAAAGTTAATATTTGTAGTAACAGGAGTTGACAGACTGCCGTAGGGTGTGAAATTTCTATATCTTTTTCAAATACCTATAATTTTCAAAACACATACATACATTTTTTTAAATATTTTTCTGATAGCTGTTATGACTTTGCCTATCACCCGGTTTCGGCTTGACGTCGACTTCTGGGACACCCTGTATATGTAGGAAACCAAAGATGCAGATGTCCAAAATGAATAATGCTGAATTATAAATATACACTGTATAGTTATGACCTAGAAAAAGTCCAGACTTTCCTGTAGGTGCTTTCAGTCCTATAGAAAATCTGTCCTTAAAGGCATGTTGACGACTGGTACTATTCATATGTTGCCATACCTTTGGCACAGTGTATCCTTTATTCACCCACGTTCTATCGGGATAATATATCTTCCTATTTTCGTATCTGTACTTCCGCATTTCCGCTAAGTATTTACGTCGCCACATCACAATTTCTTCTTTTTCAATCAGACATGACTTCCTCGTCCGCTTTAAATGCCTAAAGTTCAACTCATGAATCGTTCTTTGTAGAAACGTCATAGAAATTTTTGAAATATTGTCGCCCTTTTCAATTCCAGCTGCAATTTTTTGTATTGTAGGCATCTCGTTTCGAAAAAAAAAGAATGTAGGTGTCTGCGAACAGCATATTTGGTATCTTTATCCAGAACGATTTTATTCCTTCCCCTGGTACCACCACTAGTCGTCGGATGTTCTTCTCTGTCAGTTTTACTATTGATTATCCGAAACATTGTTCTTTCAGACACTTTTGTTAAGATGCTACAAAGTAAAACAGCTTCATGAACACCTAATGTTTAATCTCGCGCACGAAACCTGTCGTAAATGTTGTGTGTGTTAACTCTCTCTCCCCAGTAGAACAGATTCTACACTTTTTTTTGGTGTCAAACTTTCACTTTGCCAATCCATTATATGTCTCGTCTATTCTCAATCACTATCTATTCGCGTTCGAACTATTCTCCTTAGGCTACGCCACTGGAATGATCCGCGTATTGTCATGTTAGTAGTGGGGTAAGGAAAGCGGAGATATACACCAATTGCGATCATCGACTGCCCGACACCTGACAGAGTTGTCATGTTCTGATAGTCGGCAATTCCATGTTCGAAACTACCAAACGGATGACTTACGAACCCCTCTCTCGTCAGTCAAAGTAGACGTTTTACATTGTGCCATATTCATAGCCCTACTACCATTTATCCATCTCAATATACGTTTCTTAGTTCTTACTAGTTTTACATCATATAGTTTTTTAAATGGATAGGTGAATTCATTTTTGAAATCTGGCAACTGCGGCTTTTCAGCAACATAGATGAGTTACTGCCAAGAATTTCGTACTTTTGGTATAAGGTTTGGCAATGTCAAATTATCACATATTAGACATTTTTGAGGTAGAATTAGATTTAAAAAGTATTTATCTAATAAATCTATATATCCAATATGATGTCCATAGCAAAAAAAAAATAAAGTTTATGCTTGTAGAGGAGAAAAAGTGGCAATTTTAATGTACAATTTATTTTAAAATCCCACTACAAATAGAGTCAGAAAAACATTAAAACAATTTTGGGAAAATTCTGTTTTTTCATCTATCTCCGGAAGAAATTTGAATTTCGAAACTTTCTAGTTACCTAAATACACAACTTTGCCGCCAATAAGCGACTTCGCATCTATCTATACTGTTCCCACGATCCCAATAGTGAGGATCAAATTTGAAGCCCGTTATGTTTATATACCAGTATTGGCCAAGAGAGATTCTGAAAATTGTTCATTATTTTTTGTTCAAGTGTTTGTACCAATAAACATTATATCTTCATCAGTATCTGCTGTCTTTTAATACATACAGTAATAATAATCCAATGCATACTTCAGTGATCCATTGTTTACTTGGGGATGACTCATTGTACCCTACCTCTATTATGGTACATGATGGATCACTTCAAAACTTGAAACAAAACAAACGCCGTGGGAAAACTACGCGATTATTTCAAAAATAATGCTACATAAACAAAATAATTGAACCACAGTGCACCGAAAAAAAATTAAGTTATAATTTTTATAGCTTTTTGGCTACAACGTTTCAATCAAAAGTGATCCATTGTTGCCACCCTGACCTATTTTTCATGGTACTCCAATACTGTGCAACGTGAAAACAAATATCTGCTGATCATTTAGTGACATTCAAAATATTCACACGAATATCTCGTATTGCTCCTTCTCAGGGACACGCCGACAATTTCCTGCGAGTTATTATTGATTGAGTAATTAGGATACCTTTGGGATACAATCAGAAAGTAACCAATCGATATAATGACATTAGTGATATTTCAAGTCAGCCAAGAGTTACGTATAAATAAGCAACACTTGGTAAAAAATAGCTTCGATACGTTACTGTGTGCCACCGGATTCGCTATTGTTAACAGTACTAAATATCAAGAAGAGGCACTCAAACAAAAGTCAGAATACGTTGTGTAAAATAGTTAGCATGTAACTTATCGACACTTTCTAAGCTAACAAAAAAATGAAACACTCCATGTATAAATATTCATTTAATGTAATATGTATCGTCACACTATACTATCACTTACTTTCATGTAGATAACAGCATCAGTTCCTAGGCCTTCGCAAGTGAGCAGCATGAGGTCTCCGTGGAAATACCTGGCGTAAAGACGTGAGATTGGCAATCCATATCCGTATCCTGCCAATGGGACAGTATGAGCGTCAGACTTGCTTGGCTGTGGGGCAGTTGAGTACATGTACTTGAACAGGTGGTCGGTGGTAGAACGGGAAATGCCTCCACCTCTGTCAGACATCTGAAAGAAATGAAATATAGAATTAGTTTTTCTGACGCGTTACTATGGGTTTACTTAAAATTTAGCTATTCTTAACGTCACTTGTAATAGGTGAAATATGACAATTCTCAAGAAAATTGAATTCAAAACATTTTTGACAAACCATCACCATCACCAGGAATTCGAAAAACAAAGTTCGGCGACGTTGTTTTTTTTTTGCTTTGTACTCATAATTTTGCCACCATTGACGTTTTTCAGGAACCACTAGGTAAGTGACATGATTCATTGTGACGTAACATTCAACAAGAAATGGTTTCAAGTGGATTGACTGTGCACTTCCCTCGCAACGCCCTTATCAGTACATAGAGGAATATGCTCAGCATAGACTAGACTCTGAGAAAAGTGAATCCAACACGTCCATACAATTAGTCCATTGACATTCTTTCCCTACCCTACCGGTAGCGCATCTGAAAACGTCGCCTCTCTCCGATACCTAACCCGGACAAACTCAGACATTTGTGTGACTCCATAACACAACAGTAATAACGATTGGCGCAGGATGCCATTAGCAGCCACGGCCGATAGGTACGCGATCCCTCTCCCGAGAATATTTTTCAGGGCTGATGTGCAGAGAAATCTGACGTGTGAAATGACTGACAGGTCTGTAGAATTACCAATTTTGGGAGCATATAAATGTAGCATCATCAAAAAATTGAGATAAACCCTCCCTACCCCTTTGCAACCTCCAACCCCGTTTTTCTTCCCTCTAAATTTTTTTTCAAAAATGATCAGGATCCTTTAAAACATGAAACAACTACGTTGACTGACAGACTGCACGACAGTGATTGACATCGTTTTTCGTGATGTTCATGTCATATAACATCCAAAAAATATATCTGAAGTTTTAATTGCACTATCAGGACGAATCTAACGGCACCTCAAATGTCGTTTTACATAAAACCGTGTCTGGTCCGGGAAATGGAAATTGCAATGTAGAAACTTTTCCTATTAGTGTGCCATTCTGATTTTATTAAATTTTAGTATAGCTAGGGTCACTCGCACTGTCTAAATAATTTCAAAGATGCCTCAAATGTAAAAATCCATTAAACCATTTAAGCTGTAGCTAGTAAAAAATCAAAAAATTGAAATTTTTTAAATTGAAAATCCGTCATTTTGATTTTATTCAGTTTTAATACACCCAGTGCCACTTGCGCTGCTAAGAGGAATCCAATAACATCTCATATGTCAAGTAGTTTGAAGTGTTGCCTGTGAAATAGAATTTTGTCCGCGTACACACATACGCAGGCGCGAAAAAGATAACCTTCCTTCATAGGATAAAAAACATAAAATACCGATTTTGTAATCTTTCGTTTAAAATGGCAAATTGAAAAAAGTATTATCGCTCTGGAATTATAAATGGCTTAATGAAAATATTATACAAAATTATTCGGTTCCATTCCTGGAAGGAAGCTTGAAGGTATGTACTTACGGTCGCCCTATAATATAAGATCAATGAGTGGAAACAGCTCCGGTTTAAAATGACCATGTAATATACTGAATATACCATAATATTATAACATCTACGAAATATACCAGTATTTATCATACCTTGAGGCAGATGTCTTCCTTGCCTTTGGATAGAGTAACATTAATTGGCGGATACTTGTCTTCAGAAGAATGATATTCCATTACTGCTCTCATGGCGTTCTTGAATAGCTCGAAGAGCATGTGATATAGGTGTGAGGGCACATACACGATCTGGATTCCAGATTCCTTTTCACATTCTACAATAATCATATATAGAAAAATAAAATAGGGAAAGAGGTAGGTACTGGTAATATTAGAATGAATGCAAAACAAAATAATATCTTTCCACCAGCTTGCTCAGGCAGACTTTAAGCAAAGATCATCCTCAATTTTTTAAATTCTTGCACCAGATACACTTAAAAACTTGGGTGGAACTCAAACAGACAGTCGAGTTGAATCTGCTGTCTTTTTCACGAGTATCCATTACGGTAGAATGACAGCTGATTTTCTAGTAATATTTCAAAATTCCCTATATCGACAAGTGACACAATTCTGACACAGTTTGTTCTAATGACTTAGCTTGTAATCAATAAATCTCAGATGTACTATAATTTTCTAAAAAACATTTTTCTACGTGTCCTTCGTATATTTTATTAATAAAATTCCCAGACACTAAAAGTATCTAGATATGTGAACGACATCCATTATTGCCAACGTTACAGAACAAAACAAAGAAGCCACTGGCTGATCAGCTGCTCACCTCAGTAGACTCAAAACGTATACCCTATTTCACGAGTATCCCCCACGGTAGAATTACAGCTGATTATCTAGTAATATCTCAAAATTCCCCATATCGGCACACATCCTTCTGACGGATCCGTCAAAGCCAGGCAGACTGAGCCGAATTTTGTTTTGGTTTTTTGAACGCTACAGATTCATTTTGCACTTGCTATCAGCTCTTTATTTAGAAAAGTTAATTTGCCTACAAAAACAAAGCGCCACAAACAAATTTTACTAGATTTATACCCGATTCATTATTGCCAACATTGCAGTCTTAAAACAAAAATGTCACTTGCTGATCAGCTGTTCACGTCAAAGCGTGATGGATACTGGTGAAATAGGATATAATGGATACTGGTGAAATAGGATATAATGGATACTCGTGAATAGGGTTTAAGGTTGATTTTGTAACCTAAAATATACTTTGGTTATGACAACTCGATGGTAGAGTATCTCAAATTAATGTTTGAAAGATTTGAGTTTAAAATATGGATATACATATCGTAGAGATTTATGAGCCAAATCTAGAGTATTTTGAGTTTCGTCAACAGGACATTATTACAAAGTATGTTCATATTAAGGTTGATTGACACTAAGATGGAATCCTCCCTTGATTGACAAGGATATGATATATAACCTGTAATAATATATAATTCACGAATAAATTGTAAGAAAAATTTATGAATTACGGTAGAATGACAGCTGATTGTTTAGTAATATTTCAAAATTCCCCATATCCACAAATGATAATTCTGACGGATCCGTCAAGGTCAGGAAATCAGAGCCCTATACCGTTTTGGTTTTTTGTACGCTGGATATTCATTTTGTACTTGCTAAAAACTTTTATTTATAAAACTTCGTTTGCATACAAAAAAGACGCTACAAGCAAGTTTTACTAGTTTTGCACCCGATTCATTATTGTCAACGATTAGAGACCAATACAAAGATGTCACTTGTTGATCAGCTGTTCACCTCAGTAGACGTCAAAAGATGGATACTCGTGAAAGGGTTTAGACAGCGAAATTTCATGATCAAATTTATTCAAGTCGAGCACAGCAACACACAGTAACTTCCTATGACACCAACCTCAGGGAAAATGTATAAAGAGACTGTTGAAATATTAAATCCTAAATTAAAACCAAAGCGCGAATCTGAAATGAAAAACGTGAACTCGTCAAAAAACGGAGGTTAGTATCTAGGAAAAAGAACCAAAAGTAACTAGGATTCCCCAAAAAATTGACGGAAAATTAGAGCAATCTCTAATTTGGCAATTTATTCATGAATATATTGTTGTGAAGAAATTGACAACAATTTTTATGTTTACACGCTCCAACTCCTTCAAGGTTGGATCGTATAAAGCGGCTATAACACAGTGATAGCTTTGTCAGTCACACGTGACTGACACTACATACCTTCTTTTAACTTGAGATCTGTGTTAAATTATATTTTAAGTTTGTATGACGTGGAATGCGTCGAAAAGATAAAAAATATTTATATACTTGAATACTTATTATTAAATAAGACATAAAAGATGACATTTTACAAAATAGCCCGTTCACGTTCAATTTTTATTAGAATTGTTTTGAGAAATAAAATCTGAAAAATGCAACAGGTGTTCAGAGACATACGTATACATACAAAAGAAATCCAACAAAATTTGTGTTGTGCTTGCAGTCGTATCTCCATAAAAATGTTACTATACATACACTGTTGTCAGATGCTAACATTTTTGCAAAATCGAAGCAGTCAAACATAATTTGAGGCTGACGTGAGCACAAGGATCACCTCTGCTAGCGGTAGATTTGAGAAAGGCGGTGCAAACGAGCATTACTGTTAGAACATAATCAGGGAAATCTCCTTTGTTCGGATTTTTCAGTACCAGTTATATTCTGTTCGAGTTAAACATAAATGTATCACAACAGTCACAGAACCGTTCCAAACAGTCCCGGCCTGACAGCAACAATGTTTCGTGTATGCACACTTTCAACGTTATCTGAACGATTTTATGGTTACGTTTGTTGTGAGACTTGTGTCTAGGGTATTTTGTTGTTTTGTGAATGTGCATCATGAATAAAATTCTAATATTCATCATTGAATGGGTTGATGAATAAATGGATACAATTGGAATACTGCTCGGGTATACTCAACATAAAAGAAAACACCTATCGCGAATTATCAATTTTTTATTCAGACTTGATGCTGAAAACTGAACCCGAAAGAAGCTAATATAGCCTCTACAGTGGGCATGTTAGTATAGTCTATCGCCTAGACCCTTCAGTACATCTAGCAAGTCGTAGTAGAGAGCAAACATTATAATGACAATGTTTATCGAAGCATATTTAAAAAATAAGGATGAATATTAAAAAAAAAATTATTCCATAAGGCTAAGAATTTTCATAGCCATTTTTCACCATCGCCTACAGCACTTACAAAGAGCATCAACAAGTTAAAATTATGTTATATAGAATCATGAGCTTCATCTTATCGCTAATTCTACATAGAGTATAGTAATGTTATAAAATTGAGAGATACCAATGTAATTATAATACAATAGTATATCGCTAGTTAATAATTTGCAGCCTCAAAGCTTGTAGCTGGAATAGCACCTTCTTAATTTCCCTTTTAAAATAATAAGTGAAAGTAATTTGTAAAAATTCTAAATATCCATTCAACAAACAAAGCGCTATGTAAATGAAAGCTTATTTCAATCTAGATGTTATATGGCCTGAAATATTATAACAAGTATCGTTTCTTGGAAAAACGTGGCGAACAGAGGAACTCCTCTCTGAAAAATTATTCAGATGATTTGTAGATTCAAATACTCAGTGACATTAGAAGTGTTACACCCAGAAAAATAATTTCTTCAGCTTGATTTTTTGGCAATGTTTGTCTTAATCAAAAATGAAATGATAACATTCTCACGAAATTTTATTGACAAGTAATAAGAAAAAAATTAATGTGTTGGGAGACCCCGCAGCTGAATACACTCCTGTATATGTCTAGGCATCAGGAAAATGAGATAATCGATGTCTGGTTGTGGCACCTCATTCCAAGCAACTCGAACTTCGTGGATTAGCTGTGGCAGATGGTGCAAAGTGGATAGTCTCCTCCCCATCGTTTCGCACACATGTTCGAGATTTAAATCCGGTGAACGGATAGCCATGGCAAAACATAAACGCCTGCTTCTTGAAGAAAGTCCATAGTATGACGAGCAATATGGGGACGAGCGTTGTCTTGCTGCAAAAGGACGTGTGGACGGCCCTCTAGATACGGCAGTAAAGTGGTTTAAATGCCATCAAGGGCGGATTAAAGGGGGGGTGCGCGAGGGCACCAGACGTTTTTTTTGTGTACGTACTGTAGAGATTCCATCACAGTACAGACTTATAGGCAAATCACATTATTAGAGTTGTTAAAATATATGAATAAAATAACAGAAAGAACATGACTGAAATGCTTGAATTGAGAATTTTGTTCGTTGCATTCCTTTCACGTACTTACAAATGAAATAGATGATAATAGCGTTGGCGGAGCGGTGCGGTTGGAGGGAGAGCGCGGGTCGGAGCGGGGCGCATGTGCGGGAGTCTGTGCAGTCAGGACGCGACAGGTCATACCCGGCCAAGTCTTTCATGAGCTTGTTATAATTACGTAACCCAAAATATATTTCTCTTTGTTAACCCCACTACTATATTCACCCACTGCTCTACATACTTATACGAGCCCCTTCCCACTTCAGTTGGCCCACTTCAAGATTTGTACCAAAATATGCCTTTATAAACTAAACATGACGAAACTATTTACTTCTAAAACAATTTATTTTCTCAAAAACATTTTAGATACACTCTAGTCGTAAAAAATACATATTTGAAATCTCTTATACCTATAACTAATAGCACATCTGAACAAATAAACAATGTGCGAATAAATGCGCGAAGTTAACAAAGCCACAATTGAAAGATTACCATTGGGTAACATCACCTTTATTTTTTATTACGGCTGAAATTCTTTGGGGCATAGAGTTAACCAAGTTTTGGCAAAAATTTGGTGTAAAACAATCCTATATTTCTTGAAGCTTTTGTCTCAGTTCGGTGATTGTAAGAGCAGGATGTTGTCGTAGAACCTTTTTCATCTCGTGCTCCAAAGTTTCAATAGGTGACAGATCTGGACTGCTAGAAACCCATTTCAAAAGTGGTAAATTATTTTATTCCATCCATTTTATAGCCTTTTTTGAGGTATGGCACGCTGCACCATCTAGCTGAAACACAAAATCTTTGCCGGATGTCAAACATTCTTCCATCACTGGTAAAAGCGATTCTTCTAAAATTGCCAAATATTTGTTTGTATCCACATTTCCATCAATAAAATGAAGTTTTCCTACTTATTTTCATGACATACTGCCCCAGACCATAATGGATGCTGGAAATTTCACTTTTCGCTTCAGACAGTCAACATGGAATGCTTCATTTTTTTGCGAATAACTCTACTGCGACTGTCACCAACACAAATCGGGCCTCATCACTAGACTGTATTGCAGACCATTGTTGAGGTGTCCATTGTCTATGTTGTTTAGCCCATCTAAGTCGACTTTTCTTTTGCAGTTGAGTTCATAGTGGCTTTTCTTTGGCCTATAAACAAGTTGTGCCACTTAAGGGTTTTTACTTCCCTTTTTTTTTAAGAAAACTTACCTTGCAAGTGCTAAGTCCCAGTTTGTGGGCCTCTCTATGAGTTGTGGACCTCGAAATTCTCCTTCCAACAGCGTCACTCCACAGAGCACTTAATTGTAAATAATTGGCACACCTGTTTTTCGCGATTATTCTTAATGCTCTTCGGTCGGTATTTGTGATATTACTTTTTTTCACATATCGTGGCTTAATATTAACTGAACCAGTTACGTTATATCTTCTAACAATATTTCTCACACTGTACCGCGATAAGTCTAACAAAGTTGCAATTTCTGAGTTTGATTTCCCAGAATTAAAAAATTTAATTATCAGTAACCGAATTTTCTCACTAATAACCTTTCCTCTACCCATTTTGAAAACCTTAACTACCCAAAACTATTTTAAACGTGTAGTGACAGCTGTGATTAATAAAAACAATTGTCATGGCTTTTATTTTTCACAGCCACCTATGCGTTATAGACTTATTTTGCATTGAAATGAAAATAGGTTGATATGCTGTAATTGCAACATGTGTTATTTTTATGCTGCAAATTTGATTAGGGAGTGATAAAGTTGGTGTTTTCTACTCTATATTATCAAAATATTCATTGTTAATATTTTAAACCTATAACACCCTGATACATTTTTATTATTTGTGTTTGATAAGAAAAAAACTAAGATTTCAATAGTTGAGCCAACTGAAGTGGGAAGGGGCTCGTAGTTTGCTTATAGAGTGCGCGAGGTTGGGGCATAAAGTTGTACCCTACTTAGTTCAATGTAGTTTTAGCGAGTAACAAGTAATATTACTGTATATATAAAGAGCGATAAAGAGAGGAAAACACAAAAGACCATAAGTGATTTTTCTTTACAAAAAATCAAAAAACCGACCATGCAGTTGCAGATACAGGAAAGGGATTGAATTTGGTGCTGTCCTATGTACATCTACGCACGCGGCAACTACATCAATGCCAACAAATCCATCAACAGCATCACCCTCTACTAAATGCAGATTGCAGTGACGAGACATAGGTGGGTATCGCGATTTTTGTGTATTTCAACATTTTGTGTAGCTCTAGGAAGTGGCTATGTGCATTCGATTCGGGTGACTGAGAATTGCGAACGTCTATTCTATGTGCAGCTTATTATACGTTCGCAGCAGCTTCATATAGTATAGACCTTGCTTCTTGTGTTAAGCCACGGTTACACGTAGCAAATACTCGCCGCGAGTGAATTCACGACCGAGGTCGATGTCTGGTTTTGGTTGTGGTTAGATTAGACATGCACAAGTGTGACAGTGTGCGTTCCTGAAACCCCATAAGCATGCTATATTTATAGAATAGAGAGCTGTTTTCGCCACCACTAACTAAATAGTTATTACCTGACTACGGCGAAACAACGAATCATATGTATGTATTTTGAATGTCTTGTTTAGGCTATTTCAGTTTCTTATAATCTATAATAATCGGTTAATTAGTTTATTTTCATTTTCAGATACACTACTAATCAACCAGCATGACGAGATTGTTCTTACATACGAAGAAAGGTACCAGTGGTTGAAATATACTTGGCAACCTACAACAGACTTTAAGTTTCCACTGGTGTGTGAGGGAAAAAAAGAACCGGTATTTTCCAATAAGCTGGTTAAAGGGACATGAACGGCTAGCATACAGTAAAATTGCTGGTGGCGGATTGTGCAAAATGTGCATTCTTTTTGATCGACGTGAAGCGGGTACAAATGCTGTCAAGCTGGAAAAATTGATGTCGGAACCATTGACAAGGTAAAAAAAAGGCGATTGAAACGATCACACACCACGAGAGCATGAATTACCACCAAGCGAACGTAGTAGCATCTCGAAATTTTTTGATGGTAATCGAGGGAAAATCAATAGATGCTCTTGTCCAACTGAGATGCCAGAAAATGAAAACTGTTGCAGAGAACCGTAAAAAAAACTTATGCCCATTATAAAAAAAAATATTTTTTGTGGAAAGCAAAACATACCGTTAAGAGATCACAGGGATGATGGTAGTTTAGAATTGGAAAGTTTTTACGGACACGGAGAAGACAACTTCAGAGCGTTGTAATGAAGTTGCTAATCGATGCTGGAGATGAGATATTGCATGACCCCGTAAAAACGTGTGCTAAAACGCTTTCTACATTAGCAAGTCAACACAAAATGACGTAATTGAATGCTGTGGGGATTTAATAAAAAAAACAAAATAATGGACAAAATTAAAAATTCTAAATATTTTACCACTATAGCTGATGAGACCACAGATGTTTCTGTTCGTGAGCAACTAGCCATTTGTATTCGCTATTTCGATGTAGTTACAAACGAAATACAAGAAGAGTTTTAATGTTTGTCGAAGTTGTTAAACTTACTGGTGAAAACATTGCTCACCATATTTGGAAAACCTTAATCTGGACATTACATTGAGCCAACATGAGCGGCAAAATAAAAGGTGTTCAGGCTCGCATATCCAGCATTCAAGCTTTAGCCTTTTTACCCACCGTACCACCGACTCAACGTAACTATCAGAATAGTCTGCACCGTACCCAGCATAAGAAATGCCGTAGGGGTTATCTCAAGTGTAGTAACTTTCTTTCGTGACTCAGCTCAACGAATACATCTCCTCAGAGAAGAAATGCAAGCTCATCTGCTAAAGGGACAACAAAATACATTACAAAAATGAGTGAGACCAGATGGGTGGAAAGACATGAAGCGGTTTTGACATTTTTGGACGTCTTGCCATGTCTTCCTGAAATCTTGCAAAAAAATGGCTGATCAAGATCAAGGAAACAGAAGTGCTACACCTCCATTTTTCTTACTTCAATCTATAATGTCGTCAGAATTTCTCATAATCTTGGTAATCCTCTGATATTTTAAGAATCACGCTGCCCTTATCCAGATCATTATAAGCCATTGAAATTGGTACAGTTTCTGCAGTTCAGCTTATTAATACGGCCACAGCAAGTCTGCAGAGGCAACGTGAAACTAGCCCGGACACATTCAAAAAACTTTTCAATCAGGCTGAGGCCATCGCAAATGAAATTGGTACAGAGATCAACGGTCTGCAGAATCACCGGCCGTCAAACAAATCGGCCGAACATTAAGACTCAGTCAGTTGAAGAATATTACCAACTTTCAGTATATATTCCTTTTCTGGATTACATGTTATGTGAAATGTCAACCAGGTTGCCTAGCACTCCCATGCAACGAATCGGCAGATGCAAAAGTTGATGTCCCCTAACTTCAGCGACGAAGATATAGAGGATGTTTTGCATGTCGCTGAAGTATATAAAGAAGACCTTCCTCCTGTGTTAGCTTTGAAGGGAGAGCATAAAATCTGGAAACAAATGAGAGAAAATATGCCAAAATCTCCAGCAGATGCCTACAAAAGAGCAACGATGCTGCTAAATATTAGAACTCTTTGTCAATTGCTGTGTATGTTTCTTAGCACTGCCAAGCGATCTTTCTCCACCTTACGCCGATTAAAGTCATATCTTCGTTGCAGTATGAGAGAAGAGCATTTGAATGGACTGGCTTTAATGCACATCCATTAAAATGAACGCTAATGAAGTGCTGGACATCTTTAGCAGGAAACATAAATCAAAAATGTCTTTATTAAATATGTAATTTTTCAATTATTTTGATACACTAATTAACCTTTTTATAAATACTGCAAGCTTACTCCTAGCAGTTAATTATGATATTTTGCCCGTCTGTCCCTTGTGCCCCACCAGAAAAAAATCCTGGATCCGCCCTTGTAGGACATCATCAACATAACGCGCAGCAGTCATATTGCCTTGAACAGAGAGAAGGGGTGATTGGCTACCATACGCAATAGTCCCCAAACCATTACTCCAACAGTCCTGTGTACTTGACTCTCAACAGCGAATCCAATATCACGCCGTTCTCCACGGCGGCGCCTGACTCTTCTAGGACTATCGTGGGTACCTACACAGAATCGCGATTCACGGCTGAAGATGACATTATGCCATTCTGCCTACAATGTGTGCCGCTCTCTGCTCCAGTTCAAACGTTGACAGTGGTCTCCAGTCAGAGGAAGCACTAACCGTGGACGGTATGAGAAAAGTCCAAAGGCTTGAATGCGGCGATAGAGTGTACGCATAGCAACAGGTCTACCTTCTTCTCCAAACCTTTGGTCGGCGATCTGAAGCGTAGTAGCAAAGCAGTCTCGTAGGGCTAGTTGTCTGAAGCGCCTATCTTGACGCTCTGCGGTACGTCTCTGTGAACCAGTTGGCCTTCTTCGAGTTCCTCTACCTTCTTCTATCCACAAATGACTCACGCGCATTACCGTCGTGACAGTACAATTAACACTGCGGCCAATTTTGCGATAGGACAAAGCAACATCTCAATAGGCAATAATTCTACCCCTGTCAAAATCGCTAACATGGTGATAATTTGGACGTCTTCGAATTCGAGGCATTTTGTTATGCTTAAAAATAGTAAATGAAAGGGCAATAACTAAAAATATCTGTACTACTCAGCTCTCAGAAACTGTTTTCTTCACAAAAACAAAAGTAATAACATTTTAACAAAGGTAAACAAAGACAAAACGTTGAAATTGTTGCCACAGCATGCTATAAATACAGTATTGTTGCCAAAAAAAACCAAATAGAAGTATGTATACATATATACTAATGTCACTGAGTATACTTTAAAACCTTATACAATGGAGTACCATAAAAAAGCAATAAAAGGTACTTATAATTTAAAGTATCTTTTCACGTAGTAACCAGTGATATGCTCTTGTCTTCCTTTATAACAAAATATTATGCAACGATCCCCCATTTCCAGCTTGACTTCGTACTTCTGGGACATCCTGTATGAGCCTATCCTTAAAGCTAAATGAAATGTATGCCTACAACTTACCATTATGATAGAACACATCAATGATAAGATCCGGTGATGCCAAATAATACTGATCACATAGGAAGCGTGCGTTCTCGTAGGCGTCCTTGATGACGCTGATGATGTCACACTGGGTGTCTATGCAGCCAATGTATTTGCTCCTATTGGGCCCAGGCGCGCTCTCCAGCTGACCACCAAATAGTAACGCTGAAAACAGGCGGACTTATGTACGGATTAGTATGACTGTGCGATACAAACAGATGGAAAGTTATATACGGATGGGTTTTACTTTAAAATATGTAGCAAACTGATATCAAAACATGTGTCAAGTATTATCTGGCCATTAAATATGGACTGCAATGAATATAACACCTGCCTAAGTACATACATGATAAAGGTGTGTATAGACAATTTTATGGATTTTAAATGACCCAAATTTTAAAAATTTGTAGGTCTAACCTAAGTACATGCTGTTGTTGAATTCCCGCAAGGAATGCGTAGCAATCGACGCACCACTTCTAACATACATATTGCATGCTCCTCTCTTGTACATATGAAGACGTCAGCCATTTGGTTACTGAATATGACGGTGTTTTGAATAAACAAACCCTATGAGTCAGATTTACTAGCTAGTATTTTTTAAATTTTATCAACTTTCATCCAGTTGGGGTTATTAAGGGCCTTCAGCATACTTTAAATACGATTTTTTGTTACAATATCTAAATAGGGATAGTAAACCACTAAGCACTACGATATTTTTGAAGACAGATTCACACAATTGGCTTCTCACGTATTTATATAATCTAGCCTTATTTGAAAATAAAACTCTGAGAATAGCAAAGCATCATCGATTATAATACCTAGGTTTTTAGAATGACCCACAGGAACTACTTTAAATTTATGTCTATGTCATGTTTAAAGCATTCCTTTTTGTTTTATTTGAATATACTAACATATTCATCTTTAACAGCTTCAAACTGAGATTGGAGATCTTGATGTTTATTATTCGCTGTTTCCAAGTCATTACTCTTAAATGAATTGAAAATCTAAGTATTGTCGGCAAAAAATTCTAAGCTGCATGATTTTACCCCCGTTTCTAAATCTGGGATATATACTGAGTGACAAAAAAGGTAAACATCTACGTATGATTATCCGATTTTAATAATTTTGGCATATATGTTCAGTGTCCCTTACTAGTAAAATGATCAAAAGTCCAGCTTGATTCGTCAACTGACTACAGAAGCTGGTTCAATAATGTGTTGAGGACCCACGATTTCTTTTAACTCAATGACACGCCTGGGCATCGTGCTGAGAAGGTGGTCGATATCCTGTTGGGGTATCTCATTCCAGGCTACTGCCACTTCCTAAGAGCTGCTAAAGCCTGTGGATGTTGTTGCAAATTCAAGAGCCAGCGACCTATCATGCCCGAGACATCTTCAATTGGAGATCGTAATGGCCAAGGTTGACGCGATGTTGATCCATGAAGGCTAACGATGCTCTAGCAACATGCGGTCTGGAATTGTCTTGCTGAAAAGTCGGGTTTTGGATGGTGTTTAGGTATGGAATAAGATGAGGCTCCACTACTTCATGAATAAGAAAAAAGGTCAAACTGTCGTATTCTGCGATATACCGTACGCTTGCCAACCATCCCTCCATGCTCTTCAAACCACTGATTAGCGATGGCTCGAGTACTAGTGAACCTGTCTTTCAGAGCCAGAAGTCTTAACCGGCGGTCTTGTCGCTCTGTGGTCCCTCTGGGACGTCCAGAACCACTCGCTCGTTGTCCTCGGCATTCCTGAGTCCACGCTCGATCACACTGCACTATACTGCATGAGGATCTGTTGGTTCTCATAGAAACATCTCTTCATCGATAGACCATGTTTCACGCAACCCGACAATTCGACCCTTCTCAAAGTCCTGGGACCTCGGTTGGCCGCGTGGGTCAGAGTGTCGTGCTACTGATCAGCCGGCCGGCCGGGCCGCGAGTTCGAATCTCGCCGTCGCCATGGATGTTGTGTGTTTGTTTTAGGCAGCAGCGGTGGCCGCAGTAGTAGACTCTTCGGTCTCCTGATCAGCCGCCGTGCGCTGTGCGGGTTCGAGTCCCGTCCCATGAGAAATGTTTCTCTTGGCCATGGATGTTGTGATTGTCCGTAGGTGGTAGATGGTCTCTGACTGTCGAACGCGGAGGTACCACCCGGCGGTTCTCGTAGGCGGAGCCAGAATGTGTGCATGTTGCATGGACACGTGTCCCCCCCTTTCCCATGTATCCCCCATAGCCCCCAGGGTACCCAATGGGTGCTTAGGCCTTAGGCCTTCGTGGTAGTTGGAGTATAACAAAAAAAAAAAAAAATTCACTTAGCTGGGAATAATGAGATGTGGAGCAAGTTGTACTGCTACATTACATACTGATCTAATATATGTGCAGTATTGAAAGGAGTGAAAGAAACGTGTGAAGATGTTTGTGACCTACTTTGAATGTAGTACTCTCGATCCCTACGCCTAGAAAAGGATCTTTTCTTTGTGTAAACTTTATATTTCTCTCTCTCTCTCTCTCTCTCTCTCTATACAGGGTGTTTCAGTTTATTGTTGCATAACTTTAAGATTCGATAGAACTTTTAAAATTAATGCATAAAGTCTATATAAACATGGGTCGAAAAATACGTGGCTTCCGAAATACAGGGTGTTTAAATTTAAAAATAATAATAATAAAATAGTTTTTTTTTAAATATTTCGAACAATATTTGATGTATAACAGTGAAAATTGATATACAAGGGTTTTTTGGTACGACAAAACGAACCATGGGCGCTCTCTACTGTACCTGTAGTGTTTAAAAATGACCGAAAAATTTTTCTTAGTACAACTTTTTGCTTTTTGAACAAAAAAACTGATTCTTCGCACTTTCCAACATAAAAAAGCTCTCCTGTGAGTTTTCGTTATAGTTAGCCGTTTTTGAGATATTTCGATTTTTAAGGTCGATGCATTTTTAATTATTTATGGGAAAATAATATTTTTTTTACATTTTCGATTTGGGCATTACAAGTAATTAAGATGTTCGTTTAGATTGTGTTTTTAAACACAGCAATAATTCCTAAGTCCAAATAAACACAAAAAACAGAATATTAATTTGTTTAATTTTCCAATATAATTTTTAACAAATGAAATTAATTATTTACAACTGAAATGCTATTGGATAGTTAGGACAAACATACAAAATCTAAAGTAGTTGCTCGAAATGTAAACCCAATTGTTCAATACACAATTCACATCTACGAATGATCGAACGTGGTATCTCTTGTGGTTACGGGAGTCTGGTACACTTTTTCTTTTAGAAATCCCCACACAAAGAAATCTAATGGATTTAGGTCAGGGGATCGTGGAGGCCAGGCGACTAGTCCTCCACGGCCGATCCATCTTTCTGGATAATTTTCGTCCAGCCAGTTTCTAACTATTCTTGAATAATGAGCTGGACAACCATCAAGCTGGAACCAGGCCAATCTTCTCAAATCTAACATAACATCATCCCACATATTTGCATGTTCAGCCTTTAAAAATTCCAAGAAGGTCGCAGCATTTAACCTTGCAGGCAAAAGTCGATTACGGTAGATACCAATCCACACGTTCACACTAAATTCATGCTGAAAATTTATTTCCCGAACTGCATGCGGATTTTCATGCGACCAAATATGTTGATTATGAAAATTTACCACTTCACGTCTAGTGAAGCATGACTCATCGGTCCATAAAACGTTACTTAAAAACTCCCTATTATTATCAGTTCTATTAAGAATCCACTGACAAAATGTGATTCTTCGTTCTCTGTCCCCTGGCTGTAGTCCTTGCACAGGTTGCAAATGGTAAGGACGTCTATGGTCATTTCTAAGAACACGGTGAACATGGCTTGCTGAAATTCCCAAGGCATCAGAAACTCTCCTAACACTTGTGGTCGGATCTCTATCAAACTCACGCAGAATCATACGGGTAAATCTGCGCTGACGAACATTTATGTTTTGATCCCTTTGGAGATTTCCAAAACCATTTTCAATTATTTGGCGATGCACTCTTACAAATACGGAGCGAGTTGGATGTCGTCTGTTTGGAAATCTTCGTGCGTATTCTCTGGCTGCTTCTGCTGCGTTTCTATTCACAAAGCCATACACAAAATGAATATCCGCTAACTCTTGATTGGAGAATAAAAATGGCATTTTTATAAAACTTACAAAAAATAACAGGTAAAAGAAACTAAATTTCGTGCATTCACAATTGCAAAAAAACGTTTCAGGTTTCAACAGACAACAAAACTAACTGTCAACTAATTGACGTTTAACCTTATTCTGCTTTCAATTTCAAAAATATTTGCAGGCACGGCCTACTTCTAAAAATTATCGAGATACTGACTTTTTAACGTTATTTTATCATAAATAATAATTAAAAATGCATCGAACCCTAAAAATCGATATATCTCAAAAACGGCTAACTATAACGAAAACTCACAGGAGAGCTTTTTTATGTTGAAAAGTGCGAAGAATCGATTTTTTTATTCAAAAAGCAACAAATTGCACTAAGAAAAAATTTTCCGTCATTTTAATACACTACAGGTACAGTAGAGAGCGCCCCCTAGCGGCTACAGTAAAACTATGCCTATGGTTCGTTTTGTCATACCACAAAACCCTTGTATACCAATTTTCACTGTTATACATCAAATATTGTTCGAAATATTTAAAAAAAACTATTTTAGAAAGTAAATTTAAACACCCTGTATTTCGGAAGCCACGCATTTTTCGACCCATGTTTATATAGACTTTATGCATTAATTTTAAAAGTTCTATCGAATCTTAAAGTTATGCAACAATAAACTGAAACACCCTGTATATGTATACCGGGTGCGCCATCTTTTATGTCGGTATTGAAACATCGAATGACTTTGATATTTACCAACCGAGTGATTTGGTTATACGTGTTTCTGAAACGTCAATTTACTACAATTTTAGTCATGAATCACTTTACACCGAAACAACGCGTCGAACTAGTCACAGTGTACATTGAAAATCGTCGTTCAGTTGTGTTAACGCAACGTGCACATCGTCTAAAATATTGTGGCAAACAGGCACCGTCTGAAAAGATTATCCGTCGTTTGGTTTAGAATTTTCTTGAGTACGGGACAGTGGGAGATCGTCAATATACCGTTCATCAA